TCATTATATTATTATTTATCCTATATATATTCATCTATATCATTATTTTCACTCTAATAATTATTATTATGTCAGTTATCATTATTAACACAGATCCAAATAGATTTACTTTACGAATATTAGTCTATTTCTATATATTTCTATATATCATTTTCATTATATAACACTCTTTATCCTATACATATATTTCATCTAGTCATTACTTTCACTATTAATGATAGTAATTATGTTATTATCATTAACACAGATCCAAAGAGATTCACTTTACGAATATTGATCTCTATTTCTATATGTTATTTTCATTATATATCATTTATCCTATATGTATATTTATTTATATCATCATTTTCACTATAAAAAATTATTATGTTGGTTATTATCATTATTAACACAGATCCAAATAGATTTACTTAACGAATATTAGTGTATTTCTATATATTTCTATATATTTTCATTATAAAACACTCTTTAGCCTATACATATATTCATCTAAGTCATTACTTTAACTATAACGATAGTAATTATGTTAATTATTATCATTAACACAGATCCAAAGATACTCGCTTTACGAATATTAGTCTCTGTTTCTATATTGTTTTCATCATATATTATTTATCCTATATGTATATTTATTTATATCATCATTTTCACTTAAAGATAATTAATATGTCAGTTATTATGATTATTAACACAGCTCCAAACTGACTCATTTTAGGAATATTAGTCTCTGTTTCTATATTATTTTCATCATATATTATTTATCATATATGCATATTTATTTATATCATCATTTTCACTATAAAGATAATTAATATGTCAGTTATTATGATTATTAGGAATATTTTAGGAATATTAGTCTCTGTTTCCCCCTTCCTCTCCAGGTGATGTCGATGATGTTGGCCGTTTTCCTGCTCTGCTCGACGTCTCTCGCTCTCGATCCTGACTTCGTTCGACAGATTGAGAGCAGGTAAGGTGATGGCAAAGATTGCAGAGAGAGAGAGAGAGAGAGAGAGAGAGAGAGAGAGAGAGAGAGGAGAGAGAGAGAGAGAGAGAGAGAGAGAGAGAGAGAGATGAGAGAGGAGAGAGAGAGAGAGAGAGAGAGAGAGAGAGAGAGAGAGAGAGAGAGAGAGAGAGAGAGGGGGGGAGGGAGAGAGAGAGAGGGAGAGAGAGAGAGGGAGGGAGAGAGAGAGAGAGAGAGAAGAGAGAGAGGAGAGAGAGAAGAGAGAGAGAGAGAGAGAGAGAGAGAGAGAGAGAGAGAGAGAGAGAGAGAGAGAGAGAGAGAGAGAGAGAGAGAGAGAGGGAGGGAGGGAGGGAGTGTTGGTAGATTTATCAGGCGAGTGGAGGATTAATATGTTGGTTTATGGTTTATTGTGTTGTTTTAAGGAGGTAGTAGGTAAGAGGATGGTGGTAAAGATGGTAGTGTGTTGGTAGATTTATCGAGCGAGTGGAAAATAATCTGTTGGTTTATGTCATTGTTTGTTTTAAGGACGCAGCGTGTTGGGTTAGGTTTGGAGGTCGATTTTGGGTTTATATGGTCGATTGTACGGTATTTGGAATGAAGTAGGGAAATGTATGAAATGTAGGACCTATTGTAGTAAATTCATGTATACAGACCAAAGGGAAAAAATGGTAAAATCAAATATTGTCTCTTTTTTTATTTTTATGTTGTTAATTTTTCAATCAGTTTCTCATGCCATTCTCTTTCTTTCTCCCTTTTCTCTCTTCTCCTATCTTCCCTTCTATTCTCCCCTCTATTTCCTCCTCATCAATCTCTTTTCCTCTCCCTTTTCTCTTCTCTCCTTCCATTGACTTTCTGTCTTCTCTCCCCGCCTCATTCCCTTCTCCCTTCCCCTATCCATCCTCATCCTCTTCTCCCTCGCCCTCCTTTCCCATCCACTTCACCCTCGTCCCTCAACTCCCATTCGTTTGTCTTTCGCCTCCCTCCCCCCCCATCCCCATCCTCCCCTCGCCCCCCTTGCGAACTTCATCTCCCTCTCCGCCCTTCTTTCTCACGTCTCCTCTCCATCCCCATCTCCATTTCCCTAACCCCTCCACCCGTCCCAACTCCCTCCCCCCTCCGTCCCATTCTTATCTCCTTCCCCCTCTCCCCCAACTCCTTCACCCCCCCCGCCCCATCCTCCTCTCCACCCCTCCCCAACTCCCTCGCCCTCTCTTCCCCCTCCCCCCTCTCCACCCCATCCCCAACTCCCTCAACCCCCTTCGCCCCAATCACCCAACTCCCTCACCCTCTCCACCCCAACTCCCTTCCCCTCTCCCCCCTCCCTCCCCAGGACGGAGCTCGAGTGGCAGGCCCTGTGGAGCGAGGAGAGGCTGGCGCTGTGCCGGGCCAAGCTGAGGCAGAACCTGGACGCCATCTGCGGGAAGGACGTGTTCCGGAGGTCGTCGGTCGAGAGGCGTCGTCGGCGCGATAAGCGAGACGAGGGTCGAGGTAGAGATAAGGAATCGTCATCATTATTTTTATTATTGTTTATTACTGGGAACATTTTCACTATAATGATAAAAAATATTATTATTATTTTCACTATTATTATTACTATTGTTAGTATTAGTTCATCACTGTTATCATTGTTATCATGATTTTCTTCATCTTTATTGTCGTTATTGTTATCATTGTTATCATAATTATTAGTATTATACTGTTATTGTTATTATTATTATCATCATAATCATCTTTGTTATACTCATCATTAACATATTACTATCATTGTTATTGCCATCGTCGTTATTATCATTATTATTATCATCATTATTATTATAATTGTTATTGTTATCATTGTTATCATCATTACTGTTATTATTATTATCAGGAGTAGTAGCAGTAGTAGTAGCAGCATTATCACTATTATCAAGACCATTATCATCATCATCCTTTACCCAATTAATTCGTATTTACTTACTTTCCTCTGAAAGACGGAAGCAAACCACTTCCGGCAGAGTCTGATGAGGTGCCTCGTGCCAACCCTTCCACACCTGACACCGGACAGGCTCCCGACAAGCGGAGGTAATCCACTTTCTGTATTGTCGTGGCTGTATCTTTGGTTGCTAGGTATTATTATTATTATTATTATTATTATTGTTATTGTTATTATCATTATTATTATTACTGTTATTATTATTATTATTATTATTATTATATCATTTTTTTAATTTCTTTTATTTTAATCATTGTTATTGTTAATTTCATTATTGTTATCATTGTTATTATTATCATTACCATATGATTATTATCGTATATTATGTTTTTTGTTGGTATTTTTACTATTGTTTTGATTTTACCGTTATTATTTTTACTATCTTCATTATTATTTTTATTGATATTATTATCATTGATTGTAATAATAGCATTATCATATATCGGCGGAACGTTTCATTTGAAGAAAGAACATTAATATGTTTATATATCGTGTGATGTCAATTTCATTTACAATGACTGAAGAATTTAGATATTAGTCGGATAAAAAAAGGGAGTACGGATCATAAATAATATAATACACGATCATATCCTTGTCTATGTTTATGTACCTATCAATCTGTCAGTAATATGTATAGTAGCATATATAAATTCCTGAATAATATTTCTCACCGCGGAAACAAGACATTCTTTTCCCTAATATCTGAAACAAAATAAGTTTTGCGTTAGACAGTCCTCAATATTTCTACCAATGTCTTGTCTCCCTTTCTCCTCCCGCAGGTCGCCTTTCCTGAGCGTGCAGCAGGCCAACCTGTTCGTGACAACGTGGGTGCACGACCAAGGGGGGCGGCGCAGGGCAGGTCCACTACAGGCGCCGTCGCCAGTCGCCCTCCATCACCACCGAGTGCTGCACGGTCGCCGGCTGCACCTGGGAAGAGTATGCGGAGTACTGCCCGTCGTCCAACCGAGCGCGGTTTTATAATGGCGCCAGACCCTCTCCCGGTTATAACCACTGACGTATTTTTTTCTTTTTGTTGGTTTTGTTCGTTGTTTTGTTTGCACCAGTGTATCTATTGGCCATGTGTTCGTCCTTATAAAAATACATTTTAATTTAGGACAAGGCGCAGTGCAGTTTCTTTCATATTTTCCTACATTCACCAAAACAGAAGCATAAGTAAAGGGAGCTCATGCCAGGCGTCCGCTCAGACAGCCAGACAGTTATTTTACCAGCGGCTAATATCAACGCAATATCATTTTATTTTCTCATTATACTCAATCTTTTCTTTTCCTCACTATCATTCCACATTCCGAATAATAGTAAATTTAACTTTACTTTCAAACAAAAGATTCCTCAAGACGAGAGAGAAACACACAAGAAAACACACAATAACAAGGATATAAGACAGACACATAAACAAACGTATATTGATTTTGAAATTCTAAATCATCATTATCATTAATATACTTGTTATCATCATTATCATAATTCGCGCCATCATCATTTCTATTGTTTTATTAACAGTGTTGTCTTTGTTACCTTCCTAACAATAATTACTATTTGTATTGTCATTATTGTTTATTAATGTTATTCATATCATTACCATTATCATTTTATTACTATTATTGTCATTATCATTATTGATATCGTTACTGTGAATACTTTATCATTTTTACTATTATCATTATTGTTATTATAATCATTATTTGTATTATTCTTGTCAGTTATTGTTTTCATTATTATTATTAGTAGTAGTAGTAGTAATAGTAGTAGGATCATTATCGCTATTAGTATTATCATTGTTATTTTTTCTGTTTCTTTTTATTATTATCATTGTTATTATTAGTAGTAGTAGTAGTAGTAGTATTAATGTTATTTTTATTATTATTATTATTATTGTTGTTGTTATTATCATTTTTAATGATATTATTATTATTATTGTTATTACTATTATTATCATTGTTATTATTATTATTATTATTATTATTATTATTATTATTATCATTATCATTATCATTGTTATTATCATTATTAATATCATTAATATTATTATTATTATTATCATTATTATTATTTTATTATATTATTTCTACTACTATTATTATTATATCATCATCATTATTATTATTATTATTATCATCATTATCATTATTATCATTATTATTATTATTTCATCATCATTATTATTATTACTTTCATAATAATTATCATTAATTTGATCATTATTATTTTTCGTTATCATTATCTTTATTATTATTATTATTAATATTATTATTATTGTTGTTGTTGTTGTTGTTATTATCAATGATATTATTATTATTTTTACTATTATTATTATTATCATAGTTATCATTATTTTTATAATCATTATTATCAATATTTTCATCATCATTGAATATCATCATTATTATTAGTGGTATTATCATCATTAGTATTGTTATAATTATAATTATTATTTTATTATTATCCTTATTGTTATCACCATTATCATCTATCTTTTTTATCATTTCTTTTATTTTTTGTTGTGTTTACTGTTGCTCTGGTTCTTCCTCCTCTTCTTGTTCTGCTTTTCATTTCTATCATTATTATTGTATTCTTATTATCATTGTCATTATTATTATTATAATTATTATTATCATGATTGTTATTGTTATGATTATTATTATTATCATTATTATTACTATTATTATTACCATTATCATTATTATTATTATTATTATTATTATTATTATTATTATCATTATCAAAATTACTATTATCATTATTTTTATTATTATCATTGATGTTATTATCATGATTTTTTATCATTATTATCATTTTTCTTATTAGCATTAGTAATATTAAATTGATATTATAATTATTGTTATTGCCCTTATTCATATTATAATTTTTATTATTATTGTTATTAGTTTTTTGTCATTATTATTGTTATTATTATTATAATTATTATTAATAATATTGTTATCAATATCATCATTTTCATCAATTTTGTCATCATCATTATCATTATTATTATGATTTTATTATCATAATTTTCATTATTGTTATTATTATTATTGTTATTATTATTATTATTATTATTATTATTATTATTATTATTATTATTATTGTTATCATTATTATTGTTATCATTATTATTATCTTTTTTATTATTATTATTGTTATTGTATATATTATTATTATTATTATTATTATTATTATTATCATTGTTTATATTATTATTACTATTATTATTATTGTTGTTTATATTATTATTACTATTATTATCATTATCATTATCATCATTTCTTATTACCAGTAATATGATAATTAATACCATTATCATATATATATTTCTTCTAATCATATTTTGTATCATTATTATTTGTTAATATTATTATTTTCATTTTCATTATTATTATCATTATTAGTAACATTATTGATTGTGATTATTTGTTGTTGTTGTTGTTGTTGCTTTTTCTTTTTGTTGTAATGCCATTACTATTTTCTTTATTTATTGATACTACTAGCGGTATTATTATCATTATTATTATTGTTATGATGATGATGATGATGATAATAATAATTATTATTATTTTAATTATTATCATTATCATTATTGCTATCATCATCATTATTATTAGTATCATGTTATTCTGATCATTGTTGTCAATATTATTATAGCTTTTGTTATAAATATCATTATTCCTATTATTATCGTACTTTTAACAATGTTGTTATCACAATCGTCATTATTATTATTTTCTTCATTTTCATTTTTATTGTTGTTATATTTAGAATAATTATCATTACATTTCTTTATTATTGTGATTTGTATCTTTGCCATTACTATTATAATTGTTATTATCTTTATCATTATCATTATTATTATTGTCATCAATATTATTATCATTACTCATGTTATTATTAATTCTGTTAGAATCAGTTTTATTATTCTATTATTATCATTATTAGTATTATCATTACATTATCATTATTATTATCATTATCATTATCCTTACTATTATCATTATTATTGTTAATACTATCGTTATTATTATTATTATTGTTGTTGTTATTATTATCATTATCATTATCATCATTATTATTATTATCATTACTATCATTATCATTATTGTTATTGTCATCATTATTATTTTGATTATTTTACCATTACTCTTATTTTCATTTTTTATTACTGTTAGTGTTATCCCTATTATCCTTATTTTTTTCTATTTATTGTTATCATTATTTTTTCTATTTATTATCCTTATTGTTATCATTATTATTATTGTTATTATTTCTATTATCATAATTGTTATTATTATTGCTATTACTGCTGCTACTACTATCATTATTACTATTAATATCATTATTTTCATTATTATTACTGTTACCGTTGTTATTATTATTATCATCATTAATGCTACTACTATCATTATTATTATTACTAGTATTATCATTATTATCATTTTATCATCATTATCATTAGTATGATCATTATTATCATTATCATTATTATTATTATTAGCAATATGTTATTTAGTTACTATCATTATTATTATTATTATTATTATCATTATTATTATTATTGTAATTGCAATCATCATTGTCATTATTTTCATCATCGTCATTAATAGTATTATCATTCTTATTGTTATTATGATTATCATTATTATTAGTACCTTTCTCATTATCATTATTGATAATATTATTATCATTATCATTAGTACCTCTCTCATTAACATTATTGATAATATTATTATCATTATTGTTATTATTGTTGTCATTGTTGTCATTACTGTTATTGCTATTGTTATTATTTCTATCATAATTTATATCCTTTTCATTGTTAATTAACATAATTATCATTTCTATTAGTATTTCCACTGTTGTTATTATCATTATGATTATAATTATGGTCATAATATTTTTTTCTATTATCATTATGATGATTATTATCATTATTATTACCATTTCGATTGTTGTTATCATTATTTTTCATTTTCATTGTTATGATTTTTTCGTATCCTTATCATTATTCAATCATTATCATAAGTATCATTGTTATTATCCATATCATCATTATGGCTACTGTTAGCATCATCCTTACTATTATTATTATGATAATAATTGTCGTTATTTTTATTATTATCACCATTGTAATTATAATTGAATATCTTTTTGCTACACCTATTACTACGATTGTATATTCTACTCATGCTATTACTACTACTACTATTACTGTTCCTACTACTACAACTTCTATTATTGGTATCTCACTTTATTATTATTTTTAAATCATTATACGATTATTTTTGGTCACTTCTATTATTTACTTTGCTAATGTCATTAATATCAATTAACTACAGTTTTGATAATAGTGCTTGAACGATGAATTTTTGCTTATTATCATTATTCTTCGTTTTAACATTGTTATCATCTCTATTGTTGATATTTCTGCTACTAATACTATTCTTTTCGGCCAGCAAAATTAGTACTGCTGTTATTATTAATATCGTTATTATTGTAATTATGAATTCTGGCATTATCATTATCATTTGTATATTCACTTCTGATATCACTGTCATAATTATCATCAATATCATTGTGATTCTTATGGTTCTCTTACTTTATTGTTAATATCATGATTATTACTGTTCCTACTATTATTATTTTCATCATCATTATTATTATCATTATTATTATTATATTATCATAGGTATCGCTATTATTATCATCGTTATTATTTTCATTATTGTTTTCATTATCATTGTCATGATTATTAACATTAATATATTTTCATTATCATTGTCATAATTATTAACATAAATATATTTTCATGATTATTATCATGATTATTATCATTACCATTATTGTTATTATTATCATCATTGTTATTATCATTATCTTTATTATTATTATCATTATTGCTATCATTATCATCAAATCATAATTGTCATCATCATCATCATTATTATCAATACTTCTACTACTACTATTACCATCGTGATGTTTACTACTACCGCACAACTTCTGCCTAAACTTGTCCGATTTCCTAGTCGCGTGGCTTGGTTTTTTCTTGTATTGGGTGCTCGTAATTTGTATAAAATCCAAAAATATTTCAAGAATTAGAAATATACAAGTAAAAAGAAATGTTTATTCATTCTTATCATTATTGTCATTATCATCTTTTTTCTTTTATTTCCCTCGTTTCTTTACGTACGAAGTGAGATTATCTTACAAAGGCTGATGTAACTTAATCTCGCTAAAAGATACGAAATATATTTTGGCGCCAAAAGTGACACACAGATATGTAATGACAAAGAATATTCACATTAATGGATGCTGATGGATAAAAGAAATGTAATTTATAATAGATAATATGAATAACATTCAAGCCTAGTTTTTATATCACTCATTAGTTAAATGGACTCCTGAAATTTTCTGTTTTTGTTTACTTATTGTTATCTACGTCTATATACGAAATGTCTATCAAGGATTAATTCACCTGTTTTATTAATTATTATCTTCAGTACCTTTTTGTCATCATAATAATCATGAAAAATTATCACAACTACTTTTAATGATGCAGACAATGTTAGTAGCAATAATACAGATACTAATATTCATTCTGATAATGACAATAATGATATTAATGATGACGATGTTTATGATGATATTAATGAATATAGTAGAGAGAATAATGATAATAATAGTGACAATGATAATGACGATGGTGATAATGAGGATATTGAAATAATGATAAGGATTATGAGTATCATAACGACAATAATAATGATTGCAATAGTAATGATAATAATATAAATATTTATATTGATAATAATGATGATGATTATAATAATGATAATAATATTGATGATAATGATAATAGTGAAATAACAGTAATGATAATAATAAGGATGAAAATAATGATAATAATAATAATAATGATAATGATGATATAAAAAATAATAGCAATAACAGTGATGAATATAGAAATAATAATAATGCTGATTATCATTATCATTAAGATCATCATCATTATTACCATCATCAGAATGGTAATAATGATAAAAATAATACTAGCAATGATGATAAGGATAATGATAACGATGATAACAATGACATTAGATAAATAGTAATAATAATGATGATAATAATGAAAGTAGTAGTAAGAATGATAATCATTGTAATGATAATGACAATAGCAATAATAACAATAATGAAAATGATAATAACAATGGAGATGCGTATGATATTGATGATAGTACTAATAAAATGATAATGATAATGACAATGAACTAATAACGATAATAATGATAGTGATAACAGCAATAATGTTTATGGTAACAATGCAATAACAATGATTAATAATAATAATAAATAATATATAAACGATAATCATGCTACTACTAATAATAATGATGATAATAATGATAATGATAAAAATAACAATAATGATAATGATGAAAATAGCAATAATAATGATAATAGCATTAATTATAAAAATAACAATAATGATAATGATAAAATAACAGTAATGATAATGATAAAAATAACAGTAATGATGATGATGACAAGAGTGACATACAAGTTGATTCCACAAGCCAGATCCTCCTTCACTGAGCAGCGAAGGCGGTTCAATCCACGTATTATGGGTCGAAGGTGAAGCGGCAGAAACAGGCCTGCCAAGCTAGGGTGATAACTGGCCTCCGCTGTGGACGATAATGGCATTAATGCTCTTTTTAGGTGGGTTTTCCTTTGTGGATAAAGTAGTCATGCGCCACGTTGACCTTCACGTCTTTTTGATGTCAAATTCTGCACAAGATCGATACAGTAGATATATGTTATTTGCTGTGCTGATGCCTACATCTGCGTTTGGAAAATCACCTCAGTGCCAATGCTCATATGTTGTAACATGACTTTTTTTTATCAAAATATTGCATATACGTCAGTGCTAAGGATGTATCTCAGTAATACACAGAGTTCAGGACTTTAATTCTGCGCATTTCAATTAAGCTTTAGCAATCATTATGACCAGTGGGTGACCAGGGGGACCACTCATGACGGAAACATTTTCCAATATTCCTGAGAATTTTCATCACAAAGACCTCGCTCATAATAAACAAATACCCCAATCTGACGTCTCACTCAGACGTAGTTCTTTCTGGGAGAGAGAAACAATATCGACCACCCACGCCTGCGAGAGTAAATCAAATGCGGGTGCCCTGTGCCGTAGACTTTCCATCTATTATGGATTCCTACAACGACCCAAAATACTTGTGTATCAATAAACGATTTAAGATTTCGTTACTGAGCCGGAGCCAAGGGGCCACTGCTACAGACACAGGCACGTACATGAAATATGTGTGTGTTGTGTGTGTGTGTGTGTGTGTGTGTGTGTATGAATATAGGTATATACATACATATATATATATACATACACACACACACACACACACACACACACACACACACACACACACATATATATATATATATATATATATATATATATATATATATATATATATATATATATATTATACACACACACACACACACACACACATATATATATATATATATATATATATATATATATATATATATATATATATATATATATATATATATATATATATATATATATATATATATATATATATATATATATATATATATATATATATATATACATATATATATATATATATATATATATATATATATATATATATATATATATATATATATATATACATATATGTATATATATATATATATATAATATATATATATATATATATATATATATATATGTGTGTGTGTGTGTGTGTGTGTGTGTGTGTGTGTGTGTGTGTGTGTGTGTGTGTGTGTGTGTGTGTGTGTGTGTGTGTGTGTGTGTGTGTATGTATGTATATACATAAATATATATGTGTGTGCGCGTGTGTGTGTATACATTTATATATACAGTGCACTAGTATACGTATATATGTGTGCGTGTAACAGAAAGCCAAAATAAACAGTTTTCTAAATCCACAACCATCTACTGACAATAAACAAAATCAATTCCATCTCGAAAAGACCACATCCACTCTGATTTCCAGGACATTCAACCTTAGAGTATGAATTACGTACATACATTTTTTTTGAATGAACGTCATTCATTACCCCCCCCCCCTCTGCCGGATACAGATCATTTTACACACGAATTGCTCATCCGCCGACCGCAGACTCAGGCCACGTAGAGGTTTTTCGTGACGTCAGTTAATCGGACATGAATGGTGGATGATTTCATGTTTCGAGAGATATTATCTACGTACTGTGATTAATCAAACAAAGCCAAGGTGATCTGAAATGTGTTACAGCATTGGAATCATTGTGTAATTGTTCAGTGTGGTAGCATAGCATAGGAAAGATGAACATATGCAGACTAATCTTAAATGCTTCGTGTCATAGTCATTCAAAGAATTCTTCCTGAACTGCAAGAGAAGGGAAAAAAAGCGAGATGTCTCTTCAGAAGGTGAACACTTGTTTCAAGAACTTCGATCACTAGGAAAAAGAAGTTCACCGAGGCCAAAATAGGTCACAAGATCAGAATTTCTCGTTGAGGCGATCGACTCGGTGCAGGTGAAAGAGAGAGGAGAGGGGTGGTTAACCGACTCTTGTCACGAGCACGTCATCTCAAGAACCAAGAGCACAAACAGCAAGCCTCCTGGTGGGACCGTAAAAAATACGGTCTGGTAATTAAAATATGTATCCAGATTTATAAGCCGCTGAAGAGACCAGCGTCGCCAGTATCAACACGGACTGCAGTGGACATCTTGCTTGTCTGGTGTCCTGTCTGCAGCAAATAAATAATTCACCTTCTTATAAAAGATAAATGCATCACATTCCCCTCCGACGAGATCTAGGATTACACGAGGTCCTTGGTATTTTCAATTACTAATCACTGAAAAATCAGTACATAATGTGAAATTCACTTGTACAATTATTAAGTGAATTATCAAGTTCTATCCAGGCTACTTCGGAGTTATCACTAATATGTTTCGTGGTGTTAATGTGCTTCGCGGATTAGACTGTGTTGCAAATATCCCCGAATTTCTTGCGTATGTACCATATAATAAGTTAACGTAAACAGATTTAGTAAGTTTAGTAACCTACGGTAGTCATGAGTCATCGTTAATGAGATAAGCGTCCTTTGTGATAGCACTATCTGATAAGGTAGTGTGTGTGTTTATAAATACATACGTACATATATATATAAATGTACACACACACACACACACACACACACACACACACACACACACACACATATATATATATATATTATATATATATATATATATATATATATATATATATATATATATATATATATATATATTATATACATATATATATATATATATATATATATATATATATATATATATATATATATATATATATATATATATATATATATATATATATATATATATGTATATATATATATATATATATATAATATATATATATATATATATATATATATATATATATATATTATATATGTATGTGTGTGCATATATACACATATATGTATATATATGTATGTGTGCGACATGGCAGGAAGAACAGGCAGAGTGCAGACAATCGCGTCTGGCAGGGAGAGGCAATCTTGGTAGCAGCGAAGAATCAGCTAACGTCTCGAATAACGTACAGCAAGTTCATTTAGCTCTTGTAAATATATATTTATCATACCAATCATATAAAATATTGGCAATTAATAACAATGCGAAAATACACTGTCAAACCCGATGTATTAGTAATTGAAGAGTATTGTTTATTGTCTCGGAAATAGCAATTTAGGCCCCATTAAGGTCTTTAAAATACGATCGAACCTGGTTTTTGCAACCGAGCGGAGTGAAAAAAGTTCGAGTACTAATTGTGATAAATTACATGACTCATAGACGCGAGGACATGCTTTGTATTAGAACAAACTAGATGGGGTTTACTGAACAGACTCAGAAGCTTTTGCAAAGACCTTTGCGATGATTTCTCACAGGAGGAGCGTGTGTACCAATTGTGATTAATTGCATAACGCGAGGTCATTTTTGGGGGGAGATTTATATAACAGACTCATAAAAATGTAATGATTTCGCATAGGAGTACTCCAAGGTACATGAAAAAGAGGAATCACTTACAGATTTTACAAGTATACCTTAAAATAATACACGCCGGAAATTCATGTTATAGACATGCGCGTACTTTTGATTTTTTTATATCCAGATGTGATTTACTTTCGATGATTCGCTTTGTCCTTCCGGCAAAAAATATTCCATAAAAGACAAGACAATGAAACATATGAAAGGGTACATTTAGAGTGTACTCTGTATATAAACAATTTGCTACATTGTTTCACAGCATCTTATTAAAAAAAAAAATGAAATATGAATCAGCGACTAACGTGTGTGAGAGTCTTAGCGAAGTAATTGCATACGTTTGCGCATGTCCAGCGTTACATGTTCTGTGGAACCAAATAAAACCGATTGTTAATTATTATTAATAAGACAGTATTGCAAATGCATTGATAATATTTTTCCATAATTTCCAACACAAAAACATTCAGTTATAAATTAGTCGCTTGGACCTGAATCGTTCCCTCAGTGTGTAATTAGAGGTAAAGCATCATTCCTTCACAACTAGTCAAGGTCACATAAAAAGAGCACAGGACGTGACTCGCAGCCCCAGTTCCCGAAACAACGAGTATATAAGCCATGTTCTTTCCAACACGACATTATATTCAATTTTCATTACCAACAAAAATGAAGGTTTTAGTTGTATATTTCCTTTGTTCGTTTGTTTCTTCGCTGCCAACAGACTCGGAGCCTAATGGCTTCTTGGAAGCTGCCACGAATTTCAGTTCGATGATTATGCTTTCGGAAAGGAGTGAAGTGACTCAATCTAAGCCGACACTGGACGACTTTATGCGATCCTTAATCGGCCAACTTAAGGATTCTTCAGTGATTCAGGAGCTGAGTCTCTTGGCCGATCGAATGGAGTCTGCTCGGAGGAAGAAACCGAACGCTGTCGGCAGTCGGCGTGTTCGTTCTCTTGGCAAGGTCTTGGGCTCGGATAAGAAACACAAACCCTTCTTCGGAGGCATCACCTTCACGTGGATTTTCGCCAGGATGGAAGTCCCGTTCCGAGATCTCGCCTTCAACTTCTTCGAATCCCCTTGTCCCTCGCAGAAGTGGGGCTAAATACATTCTTAATAAATAGAATATATATAAACCTGTTCTTTTCTTTGTATGACGATAACCTTCATATCGATTCTTATAAAGTCACTTTAGATCTACTAGTCTCGTACAAACTTGTCTTTAAACCTCTCGATGAATTTTTTAATAGAATGCTTAATTTTGCCTCTAAATATACCTATATATGAAATATCCGTATATATAAATGTATGTGAATACAAATAAGGTAATTCATTTTGAGCTCACTTGCAACAACTAACGAAGTGAAAAAACAATTCATCTGCCAATATCTCCTTATATCATACAAATCTGTATATCATTGCAAAGCTTCGTTTCACATTTCTTCTCAAGCACTTAATTATGAACGGACAGATACACGGTACATTCAAAGTCCTGGAATTACACATCCACAATCAATCACGCCACACATACCATATTTGTGATTTACTTTTTACTATTTTACATTTTATGAATGAATTCCTTTGGCTGCCCCCTACCACTCCCTCTCACTAAAGACAAGCGGTTTACGGAATTATATTATATCGCGGTTCGTGTTCCATTAATTACGTCTGTAACATCTGATAATCCTGATAAGAAAGGTGATTTCATGCTTGATAACGAATAGTGATGCTAGCGTCCTTATACTAAAATAATGTGAGTCAAGGCAACTACAGTGCTTTATATAGATGGATTCGCCGTTGGGCTGCACAGTCGTGTCCACAAGAGCTTCACGTGCAGATCTACCTGACGAAAGGCGGACGTTTCAGAGGACAACCTTATCACTGCTTCGTGTAGTTGTTCACGGACTCGTTCCTGAACACAAGAGATGGAAAGAAGCGGAGTGACACTTCAGCGCCGTGAACACCTGTCTGGAAAACTTGAAGAAACTAGCGTTAGGAAAAGAGAATCCAACTGAAGTGAAAATGGGTCGCAAGATCGGAGAAATTTCTGTGGAGGTGATCGACCTGGTGAAGGAGAGAGAAGGAAAGAAAGAAGAGGAAAGGGAAGGCGTGAAAAACCTCCTGTTGCCTTGAACAAGTCACTTCAACCTTTAATGATACCACTGACACTCGCAAGCCCTCTGTGGCAAGAGATGTAAGTATTTTCAAACAGGGAATAGAGTGAATGCATGCAGCCATATGTGTTTCACATTCCTCTCTTTGCATCTTGAATCATCTAAATCCAATATTATTTAGTATTACAACCAATATGCAAATAATTATTGCATAACTTAACCAATATGTAGAGAGTGCCATTACCTAAGATTCGAAAAACAATATTGGGTATTTACTCTTTGTTATTGAAAACAATGCCGGTCGTTTTCTTCCCGACAGAATTTCCATCAACACGCGTAAAGGACAAAACCTCGACAGCAGCTTCGTTCAGACTGTGTGACGCGCCTGTCTTGGCCCCTTCCCACTCTGCCACGACGACGCAGCGGTGGAATCCAACCGACGACGTGGCTTCGGAGAGCGAGTTGGAGGACGGCTTCTCTGCTGTGCCGGCCAACACAGCCACCGTCAGAGGTCCCATAGCCATCCCTTGCTTAGTTGATAGGCCTATGGTGGCCATTAATTTGATGACAAAGGCATGCCGATCAAGAGTATGGCCAGCGATAGAGGAGTCGAAACATGAACTTAAATCTATTGAAGCATGTAACCCAAAATAAAGCATAGCTGTTTCAATAAATATAAATACTCGATACAAGTTTATTCATCTCATTACCTTTAGCTATCAATTTTGGAATCAGATTGAAGGATAACAATGGGATGGCATACATATGATAATGATATTAATACCAAGGAAATAATAACAATAATAAAAGTGATAACAATGTAATGATGATAGCAAGGTAATAGTAACTTGATAATAATATTTTGCTAATAACAAGAAAACTAGTTATTAAACTTAATAAAAATAATATATAATAATGATAAAAAAGTTAATGGCATTATCACCTGTTATTTCCGGCTTATATCTCAGGAGTAAGTTCACTATACCTTTTGTGTCTTGTGACTAGAATCAAAATAAAGTTACCTTTGTTATGTTGTCTGCCAGCTTATAATAATAATGATATTACAAGAGTAATAAGGAATCACAAGTAAATAATGATAACGATAATAATTATAATGACAATAATAGTTCGTTGATCATAACAATACATGATGATGAATAATAAATGATAAAAATAACAATAATCATAATCATTATTACTATCATTATCATTAAAATAACTATAATGTTAGTGATGGTGGCGACAACAATAATAATGATGACAATAACATTAACAAATAACAATAATATTACCATTTAGGTCATGTTTGCCTCTGAGAACATTGT